TTCAGTAATTACATTTTTTTCAAGAAAACTTGCCTCTAAATTTTGCTATTCATGTCATAGAACTTTGCTCCTTAGTTCAGCTAAAACCCAGGTTCTTGTCACACGACCAGTAAAATTTAGGCACGAGGATACATTGAGGGGTGATTAGAGCAGGACTTTATTGGGCAAAAAGGAGAAAACAGAGCTCAACGAAGTGAGATGGAGGCCTGTTAACAAGCCCTCCCCATCACTGATGGATTCCCAGGTCCCCACCGAGCTGGAGAGAACAGGCTCCACCTCTGCATAAGGCATGAATTCCCCGTGGTTTCCCCTACCCCCCATAATTCCAGTGCACAAGTCGGGCTTCAGTCTGCTGTGCGCATGTGCAGTCAAGGCGTGGGCAGGTTCCCTCATCCGCACAAAAGCATCTGATGTAAACACTCGTGGAGTGGGTGGGAGATTCTCCGGGGACCCCTTTTTATCTGCCTAGGCATTTGGCTGTCTCATTAATAGTAATTAAACACTCGAAAGCACCTTTCTGGTAGCCTCAAAAATTAGTGAGCACATACAGATCATCTTCTAAAACCAATTTGTTGATAAACATATCACTGTCCAGGAGAGTGGATTGTTTCTTCTTTCTTAACAACCTCCTGGTGTGTAAATCCATCAGCCAAGGAAAACTGATTGTGATATTGACTTTTTATACAGATATGCTGAAATGGAACTGGGTAGAAATGAAAGTTTGTGTACACATTTGATATTTCATGTATTTGTTTATTTTGGTGTGTTTGTAATATAAGTTTTCATTTATCGATTTAATTTCATTCTAATTAGTCACTTGTATTTATACCATTTTTACTTAAAAACATTCCAATTTCATTTTTATTGTCAGATTGAGTTACCTTAAAATAGTGTTTATTGAGTCAATGTCAATTTGCCAAACTAGAAGTTCCCCAGAAGGAACAGCTAACCAAAATATTGAGAAGTAAATGCTACAGTTTCCCATGAAACAATGCTACATATTGAAATGTATACTTATTACTGAGCAATGAAACTGATGTTCAAGAAAATTGTTTAATATCTTGCTCTAAATCATAGGTCTTTTGATTTTATTTTCTTATTTTCACCTCTAAGCTCTTTAACATAGTAGTGGGAATGTGGTTTGCCTAAAAACTGCTTTCCCACAACACTGAGCCCTTATCTCCCTTTGTCTTCCAGAGATATTGTATCAGTGCCAGAAGTGGCCTAAGGATCTCTTGACTGCCAACATTGTGTGTAATGTGAGAACCGCAGGAACTCCTCCAGGGTCTCCTCTGTTGCATGCTACAGAGGCTGAGATTTCATTAGTTTCAAGCTTTGAAGGCTTTTTAGTTTGCAGAAGTCCTTTACAAAATATAAGTACCTACAAAAGAGAGGTCCCACAAAAGGTGGGCGTTCAGTGTGATGTAAAGGAATAATGGGCAAAAAGCATTCAAGATAAAATTCCACCTCGGTCCTGCCTTCACTTCTGCCTTCTCAAATGTTCTTTTTTCCTGGTATATTTGCTTAGGTTTTCAATCTTTAAAACTCCCCCTTCCTCTCTCTGCTTCCTTTCACAGCCAAGCTTCCTCTTGTGTTCATTTCACAGACCTTGGCAGTCTAGATTTCATCATTCCCACGCAACTCAAACTATTTTCCATAGAGGTGCTACCATAATCCCAATGCAAAGTTAAAGTTCTTCTCATTCTTCATCATTCTTGGCCCTTCTGGTATTCTTGATATTGCCACATCCTGCTTAAATTCTGTAAAACCACCTCTGTAAAAGCTGTTTTTGCCTTTTAAAGTCTGGGTTCACAAGGTGAACTGCTAACATTGTGAACTCTTTCTTAAAGGCAATGGAGGAAAAATGAAGAGGAGGTAGGCAAGAAAACTATATTTACCATTTTCTTATATCTGATGCTTAAATATAGGAATATCTGTGGTTCCGTTCTGTTTTCTTCTCAAATCTACTGTCAACCTCCAGTGATCCCAAATGCTCTATAGCTTCTGATGAGCATTTCCTGGCTACACCTCTAACAAAAACACGTTTGCGTGTAGGTGTCACACAGGCACCTCAGTTTCCGTGACTGGACTTGGTGTTTACCCTACCCCACCTAAGCCTGCTTCTCTTCTATTTCCTGTCTCCTTTTATAGATCGATATGGACCAATTTCTCAAGTTGGAAATTAGCAAAACAGCCTCTATTCTTCCTTTTATTCCCTGTCTTTAATTAGTTGCTGAATGTTATGCATTGTATCTTTAAGTTTCTTGTATCTATATCGATCTTTTTCTGTGGATCCTTATTACTCATGATATCAAGCTTCAGTTATTAGTAGTATTCCTGCTTCTATTTCCCTTCTGTTGGTTGTAAAATGATTATTTTCAAATGTAAATACAGTTTTCTTGCTGTATTATTTTAACCTTTCTTTAGATTAAAATAATCATTTAACCTAAAAAGTGATTATTTTCAAATGTAAATACAGTTTCCTTGACTACATCCTCCTCATTTTTCCTCCATTGCCTTTAAGAAAGAATTCACAAAGTTAGCAGTTCACCTTGTGAACCCAGAATATCTGAGACAGTTTTCAATTGCTTTAAAAAGTTTATTTCTCCAAAGTTAAGGACACGCCTGTGACACAGCCTCAGGAGGTTCTGATGACATGTGCCAAAGATGATCAGGGCATGGCTTGCTTTTATATGTTTTAGGGACACAATTCATCAACCAATACATGTAAGATTTACATTGATTCAATCTGGAGAAGCGTGCGACAATTCGAAGTGGTGGGGAGGGGGCTTTCAGGTCATAGGTAGAGTTAAAATTATTCTCATTAACAATTGATTGAAAGAGTTACTATCAGTAGAAAGGAATGTCTGGGTTACATAAAGGGTTGTGGAGACAGAGAGGATAGATTGTAAATGTTTCTTATCAGACTTAGGGTCTGTGTTGATGTGAATGCTGGAGAGGTATAATAAGGCATGTCCAACCCTCTCTTCCATCATGGGCTCAAGTTGATTTTCAGGTTAACTCTGGAAGGACCTTGGCCAAGAGGAGGAGTCCATTCAGATGGTTGTGGATTTGGGGGGCCTAGAAGTTCATTTTTGGTTTACAACCTTGAGTACCCACCACTCAAGGTTCCAGTGTGTGGGATTAACCACTGGAAGAAAAACATAGGGTTCTAGTGCTCATAGTGTTCATATTTTCCAAAGCCTGACAGCAGCTACCTATTGTGTACATACCTGATCATTCTTATCAGTTTGTTTGTTTGTTTGTTTTTTAAGACAGAGTTTCGTTCTTGTTGCCCAGGCTGGAGTGCAGTGGTGGGATCTCAGCTCACAGCAACCTCCACCTCCTGGGTTCAAGTGATTCTTCTGCCTCAGCCTCCCTAGTAGCTGGGGCTACTGGCTTATGCCACCACGCCCAGCTAATTTTGTATTTTTAGTAGAGATGGGGTTTCTCCATGTTGGTCAGGCTGCTCTCAAACTCCCAAGCTCAAGTGACCCACCCACTTTGGCCTCCCAAACTGCTGAAATTACAGGTGTGAGCCACCGTGCCTGGCCCCTTATCAGGTTTTACTCTCCTTTAGTAATGCCCAGTGACTTGGGTTCCCAGACCATTTCAGTGCCTCCTTGGTATTTGTTTCAGAAATTCTATCTGCCAGTAAAATACCTATCTCTACTCTCTTAACCCTGGCTCTCTCACAACCTCTGCGCCTCATGCGCCTCCTTCTTTGAAATGGATTTTCTGTTCGCTTTTCTTACCAAGCTGCTGTCACATCCTCCTTTCGGCTACTGCCACCTTCACAGCACTTCCCAGATAGCACTTATAATTGGGAAGCCATCTCCCTTAGCTTAAAGCATCATTCTGGCCTCTATACCTCACATAATGTAGGCAATAAGTAAATGTTTGTTGAGTGAACGTGTAAAGGTCTATGACAAGACCTTCTTGCCAGTCAGTGTCATGTCATAGCCTGCCTGTAAGGTCGGGTCTTTCTGAACTATCATGATTCCTTCCTTGAGCCAGGTGCCCTGAGCTATCTAAGATGAAGAAACCATGCCTTCGGAGATACTGTTAAACTGTTAGGTTATTTTCTGCTTATGTATACCATTTACCTAGTTATGCATCTTTCGTTAGCTCATGCATGAGCTCTGCCCTCACATTCCCACAGGAAAGTTTGGAAAATGTTTATTAGAATAAAATCGCTGTTATATAAATACCCCTTAAAATTAAACATATTGTGCATATTATAAATGTGTGTATATATATTTGTATGTATACACACATACATAATTAGATACAAATAAATATTTGTATTTATCTTTTGTGTTTATTTATGGTACAGTATGCTTTGTTATAAGTTTAGCCAATTTTTCTCAGACTCAACCTGTTGGAAAAAGTCTGTTAATTGTCAGAAGGAGATTTAATGCAACAGTGAAAATTTACTACTTCTACTAAAGAGTCAGCTCAAAACTTGTTTCCTGCTGAGGATGAGTCAGTGAAAGCTTGAAATAAAAAGACACAGAGACTGAACTGAAGTCACAGAAGTATATTTTTGGAATTACAAATAGCATATACTAGGGTGTATGAACCAAAACTATGCATTTTATGAGTAATTCATAATATCTAACTTTGCTTTTGAAACTTATTCTTGATGTTTGTATTGTTTTATTTGTATGAATTCCCACCCAAACTCTTAAAATTTATTATACAAAAATCCCTGAACTTTTGGCACAAACTTTAAGGGGCAGTGGCACCACTTTCCTTTTCGTGTGTGATGACTGATAAATTAGGTTGAAGATTTCGAGGGCAATTACAATACTTTGATTTTACATTTGAGAAAATTAAGGCACAGTGACCTTAAGGGACTTTCTTGATATCAAAGAATTACTGGTGGACTCTTCCGGGGCTGCTCCTATAACATCAACCATATGATTCATGATATTGTTTTCTGGATAATATCACTAAATCATAAATCAAACTTACATATCCTCTCTATGTTGGTCAAGGTTCCTACCTGATCCCACTCCCGGCAGCAGAACTGGCCAGCTGTGCAGATCTGGGGACCCTCTGTCAAGGTAGGGAGCTCACACTGTACTCTGGAATCTCTTTGCTTCCCACTTGCAATTTTGGATAATGTAGTTGTCATTGTTTTGATTTTTATCTGAATTTTCACTTGGAAAGACAGAAAACAGCAAAACAGAAGAATTTCTGCAAATGTTTTACTTGTGTGGGTGCACAGTACATACGGTGTGGGGAAAGAATGCATTCACATGGTGGGTAACCACAATTCCACAAAGCTCTGAGTTTTAAAAATGTGAATTTATATCCTATTAAATAAGGGTTGGTTTCATTTCCCCCCATGTCTTCTCAAGAATATACTGGACTTGCAAAAAGTCCAGTATAAATACAGTGGTACAGTACTTTGAAGAAATATTCATGTCTATAAAACAAAGAGGGAAATTAATCTGAATGTTCAGTTAACTTTAAGATAGGGCCATGAGGCAATTTATGATGACAAGATAACTTAAATTTTAAGATTAAAATGGTTATCATAACTTAATGTAACTGTGTTTATTATGATGCTTACTGTATCATGACATTTCAGTTATATTATGTACTAAGTAGCTGCATGCTAAATAATACATAAAGTTATACAAGTTTTAAAATAATATAAATATTTTGCTTTATTTTATCATTGCTCTTCCTAATTACCCATGACCCTTTTCATCTATTTATTCTGTTAAATACTTCTATAATGAAGTAGCATGCTCTGTGTACCACATTAAGAATCACGGCCATGCCTTTTGTAAAAGCTGAATCTCTTATTAAGAAGATCATAGCACAAAGGTGACAGGTATTAGAAGTGATATTGAAGAAGTAGAAACCTAAGCTGTCTTCTGTGGTTCCAGTGTCAGAATAGGGCAGGCAGGAGATGGTGTGGGGTGTAACTCATTATTATCTATTATCTTTGTTTTCCTTTTGGAGACATTATTTCTTTGATATTATTACTGATCAATACCCTATGAAAATTAAGTCATCAAGTAGTTTTTTTTTTTCATGATCTCAGTGTAGTTTTCAAATTGTTAAATGAAATTTAAAAATCCGTGATTCTATTTAGTTCAAGATCTGAAGTTTAAAAAATATTATTTAAAAAATTTTTCTCATCTATCTGACATAATGCTTTGAAAATGTCTCCCTTATAAGGCTTGCCCTGTGAATACTTTTTATCCATCAGTGTTTAGTAAACTTACTGGAATCTTTAAATGATTAACTTAGTCTATGCATTTCATTTGTCTTTTCTTTACAGTCATCTTAAGAAGAAGTACATTTTTTTCTGAGATTTTATTTCTCTAGACTCAATGTATTAGGCAAACTTAGTTTAGATAACTTTCAAGCTGTAGGTTTTATACAGATTGCCTTCCATAACTTTTTCTTTTGAGCAACTCAGGAAACTTGAGTTCTAAAGCATTAAGTTTTACTGTGTGATTGCCAGCTTGTTAATGGAGAACTAGGTCTAGAATCTAGAATCTAAATGTCTTTTCTCTCATCACTTTTTTCTTGCTCCAGACCCTTGTGTAATACAGCATCCAAGGCCATGTGTGCTGATTCTTAATGTGCCACAGAAAGCATTGCTTCATCTTATACGTTATAACCTTGGAGTCTGTTGTATTTCAAAATGGTTTCCGTTCTTCCTCTATATATTTTAATGTATTAATTATAGATTGCTTATCCAAATTAACTTTCATGAGCTCTTTGCAAAATTACATCTTTCTCATCTTTATTACCAGCTACTGTAAACTCTCCTAGTACTACACCACGCACTGTCACCACTAACATGCCTGTTACTAACAGAATCGATAAACAAATGAATGGTAAGAAATCATTACCTTTTATATTTATAGTGTGTCTAACATAAAAAAATTGTATTCTAAGGATAGAAATATGTATTATTCCAACAAAGTTTCTATTATTGGAATCATTTGGTACATTTATAGGTTTACCAGGCTAGTAAAATTAATAAATATCACGTAACTCTGTTTAGTTCTTCGTTTTTATGACCAGTGGAATGAGCACATTTCCAGTACTCCTCTTTTCCACTTTTAGCCAAAGTTTCTTTCAAAGGAAGTTTTAAGAGAAAGACATTTCATTAAAAGGCAGTAATTTGCTTCATAATAGAGATCAGAGAAAAATGTATTTCTGTGGTATTTTGTCAGATAATTTTCTTCAGGAAACAAGTTTTAAAGGACTTTATAAATTTCAGAAAACCAAGTAATTTTAATAATTTAATTTCTCACTTAAGTGTGATAATATATTTGTGACATTTAAATCAATTTTCATAGTAATACTTTGCTTTCTGTTTTTATTTGCTGAAGAATAGAATGTGATTTCATATCAACTAAAATCTATTTTTAAATGGCAACAATTAAAGTCACTTCAAATACTTCTTGCTTTTTTTCTCCAGATATACTTTTCTGTTATTTATGATTTGCAAATACAGTAGTATATGGTAAGAAATAAACAGAGGAAAAGTCAGGTGAACTGAGTTATTGAACCTGTTCCTATATGGGTGACACACATGGCCTTTCAGTAATTCAGAGTGAGTGATTTCAGTTTCTTCTAATAAAAGAGAAATTCCAATCAGGTGACTACACCATTGCTTTTAATACAGTAATATTCTCAAATATGAAGCATTAGAAACAAAGGAATTTTCTGAACTCCAATCATTTAGTTCATGAGGCCAAGACATCTGTAATATATTACCAGGGACCCAAAATCCTGAGAAAAGAAACCCACATAGTTCATTTTTTCTTGGCTTCAGAGGTTGTATCAACTTCCTCTGTAGGACATTTAAATTGGAAGTATGGAATATTTTACATGAAACGTAGATATGAATTTCATTAGGGTTATAAAGACATTGATTCAGGGAGTGTTTATGGTTATTCTGGTAGTTACACCAAGGAGATTTATGACGGAGCAAAAATTCCAGCAACCCCCAAGTAAGCAACAGCAGCTGGAATTTCCAGTGCACATTTCACATGGACTCTAGCCAGTAGATGGGAATATTATAATTCTAACTAAGTATTTCACTCTTTGTATGAACATACAAAGAGTCTCTGTGGTATTCTCCCTCCAGGACTGACACATCCTCTACTGCCCAAGAACATTTATACGGTGCTTCAGAGTCCTTGACTTGGTGGAGTGGAGCTGTATTCATTCACTCAGTCATGTCATTTCTGACATTATTGAAGAAAGCCTTGTTTAGGCCATCTCTTTTTGTGTCATAACCTTTTGAACAAAGCAAGCAAATGTTAGAATCAGTTAAAATGGTCTGTCTTGACCTACATTAATGAAAAAAATCTAATTCAGATAATTCTTAAAAATTTTATCTTAGTGTTTAAGGATATTCAGGTCATTACGTGATAGAAATATTCTCAAAATTGTGTACTCAAATTTGTGTACCATCTTAATAATTTTTACCATATCTCTGAACCACCTATATTATTTCATATGATTTTTTCCCCTAAATTGACTCACCTTTTAACTTAAACATTTGTATTTACTTGGGAAAATCTATTTCAGGATTGTAAAGTGAAGCCAGTCCTACTTGTTGTAACACAGACATGAAAAGTGAATATAAATATAATGTAAACAATATTTTAAAATTCTCTATGTATCCTATTGCCTTCTCACATCTTAGAGCCTGAAGCCTTCATTATCTTTTTATAAAGGAAGACTAACAAAGTATTAGAGACAGACTGTAATTAATATTTTTTTTGATGTAACCAATTTGGAAATAATTGAAAAGAGAATTAGTTTTTTACCTTGTGAAAAATGCTATTTAATGTCATGTCATGGATTATCATCATTTATATATTAATAATTTCTTATTCTTGGGAAACAGAGTAAACATTCTCAGGCTTACATTCTGATGTATTAGAGAATCCCATTTTATTTACTGTAAGAAAGATAGGCACAACTGTCAAGTCTGTTATCTAATTTGTCCAGTCCTTTTACCTTTTGGCTATTGGAGTTTTACTGGGTTCACCAGTAACAATATTGCATTGTGAGGAGAGGACAGAGTTGAGTTTGTCTGATGATCAGATATATTTATCGTAGTATATCAACAGAATGTGTTTGCCTGGCTTTTGTGATGTTCCTATTTTTCTGTGTAAAGTTATTTTTGTTGTTTGCCCTAGGGCTTTTTTCTGATGCCTCAAATTACAGTAAATCTTCATTAATGTTGTTAATAGGTTCTTGGAAACTGTGAGTTTGAGCAAAATGACATGTAATGAAATTAATCATAACATAGGCTGATTGATAAAAACAAGAGTTAAGTTTCTACAGCATATCTGTGATCACAGAAGCATCACCAAACTTCCAAATAAAGACTGAAACACTTCTAATATTAAACATTGTAGTTAATATGAGCTATACATACATTTAAGAAAGATTAGTGAAAACAAGATAATTGACTGCCCAATTTTGAATGAGCCAGTAAGTGACTGCAGTCTTAGTGGTGGTGATGGGTTAAATCAAGGAACAAGTGTTCGTTTGCAGGGTGAAAATTGCAAGCAGCACCTCCTGCCAGCAGGAAGTTCCAAAACAATCATCAGTATGGGGCTTCACTGAGTGCTTTCATACTGTATCATTTATTGTCGTACATTGATATGATTATCTTATACTTTATGAATTTTTGTTTTACAATAGTTTGTATTCATTCATTCATTGACTTTCTAACCTGCTTATTTCATATAGTTCAAGCTGGCAGGTGGCTGGAACCATAGGGACAGCGCAGGGTGGCAGGCAGGGACTAGCCCTGGCCAGGATGCCATCCCATGGCAGGGAACACTCACACATAGCCACACCCACTCACACTGGGACCATGTAGACAAGCCAATGAATCTAAGGCCCACAGCTTTGGAATGTGGGAAGACACTGGAAGATCTGGAGAAACCTCATGCTGACAAGGGATGCAGACCCTACGTAGAAAGGGCACCTGGCCAGGGATTGACTTTTCTCCTCATCAGCTTTGTAATGAAACTCCATTGAATGAAACAATGTTATTCGAGGACCTACTGCATGCTTTAAGAAAGTCTTTAAAGCTACTTTTCACAGACAGATATTTTAGGATATGGATAATCTGGGGCTTCCCACAAATAATTACCCTTTATACATTTTACATTACGTTCCCAAGAAAAGCTCTTGGACTAATTACTGTTCCATTCCAAATCATATCTTCCCTGCTTCAAGCATCACTCTAGTGCAACTGAATAGTAAGCTTTTATGAGGTTGTCACAAGCAACTCAAGTAAGGAATTAACTCCATTAGTCTTTATTATTGTTCTAAAAATCTAGTTTCCAAGTAAGTACAGACTGTAACACTGCTTCCAGTTTCTCACATAGGTTTAGCTATTTAACAAATTCCTTCTTAGATCATTTGAATGGATCCATTGCTGTAGCTTTTTATGCCATGTATCTTAAAGAAATTGTGTGTATAGGATCTGCAGGATTGACAGCCATGTTGTAAATGCCACTGTCATAATAGAATTGCCTCATCACCAGTTCAAAGAAATAACCAGGTATCTAAATTAGCATTTGGTTTATACTTTAACATCTGTTTTTTCAAATATATATTTAAGCCTATCACTGCAAACCTGTATTTTACATCTTTGAATATAGTGTATATAGAGCAGAGTCATTTCTGCATTCCTTAAGAAACTCCAAAAAAAAGTGTAAGAAGGCAAAAAATGAAAAGATTAGTTGGAGAGAAACCTACAGAAAATAATGCTGTTTTGTTACCACATTGGTAATGCAAGGCAGTGATTTCTGCTTGAAGTTCTACATGCTGAAAGAAGTATCTAAATGGAAAACAAATATATTCTTAAATCATTTTTCCCCAATTAATGTCTATAATAAATTATTTTGGCTTAGATGTTATTATTAGGATAGTACATAAATATTTTGAACTCTCTGGAACACATGAAGATTTGTGAATAGCTTTTAAAACACCATGGGAGTTAACACTGGTAAGAGAAGACGACTTTACTGCTATGATAACATGGAAAATCCTGCATAAATGTGTCTTAATTATGCATTTCCTCCAATGGCAATGTTTAAGCCAATTATTTTGCTGCAGTCCAAAACCCTTCTCACCAGCCCTTCAGTGGACATACTTTTTTATGTTGCTTTGACAGTTCATTCTTGGACTTTTCTCATGGTTACTTTTTGACTGCACTATTCTAAAATTTTAAATAAGATTAACAAGTGGACTGGAGCAGGAAATACAAAGTTTAAAGAAAGCATCTTAAATATTTGGATTCTTCTATAAAAATTCAGAAATGTCAATGACTACAGATAGGTCTCCATCTAGTGGTGGCTTTTCAGATACTCTGCTAGCATTGATAATACAGATGCTCTTCCACTTAATGAGGGGGTTTGCATTCCTATTAACCCAACTGTAAGTTGAAAATACTGGAAAATATCAAACGTCAGAAATGCATTTAATACACCCAACTTGCTGAACATCATATCTTGCTGAACCCACCTTAAACATGTTTAGAACACTTACCTTATTAGCCTACTACTGGGCAAAATCATCTAACACAGAGTCTATTTTATAATAAAGTGTTGAATATCTCATGTACTTTATTGAATGTTGAACTTAAAGTGTGAAATGAAATTGTCATATGAGTACTCAAAGTAAAAGTTTCTACTGAATGCCTGTTGTTTTCCCACCATCATAAAGTTAGATCATCTTGAATTATAAGTAGGGAAACTTCTGTGTAGTCAGAAAATATTACCAGATTCTTGAAATAACTCTTTGACCTTCAAAATTTGAATTTCCTCCCAATCATTCAGAACATTTGAGATTTTGTATGATGAGATCTACAGTGTAAAAGTTATCTTTATATGAATTATTGTTTTATATGTTCCTCCAAATATTTTTCATTCAGAACATTTCTTAAAGGAATATAAAAATCAAGATTATTAAAATACCTGGAGAGTTTTAGAAGTTGAAATACATAGTCTGCATGAATTTAACTCACCTATGCTTGGACTTGTGCCAGTTTTATATATTTATATTAATACATCTGAGGGAAGCAATTTCTATTATTTAGCATGAGACTCTGGCTCTTACTGGAAGGACATTCCTTTGGTAGTGGAACTGGAATTTGCATTTTGGTAGATTTGGAAATTCCCAGAGAAAAATGTTTATATTTCTTTCTACTGCCTCCCCACAATTTTTACTATTTTCTTCAACATTGCTGTAATTATGTATTTCTATATTTTGTGTGCATATTTTATTTAAGACTTACCTATATATAAGTATGAAGAAAGATGATTGACAATAATGGAGATTCAAAAATATTTCTTTTCTCTATAACCTACCATAATTTAAAAGGGTATTTTTCTCATGAACTACTTTGACTAAAGTGCTCTTTAGCACCCATCTAGAGCTATTTAGCAAACCCTTGCTGGTGAGTTTGATTTTTATTAAAACAAAAAAAATCAGTTTACTTTAAAGATTTCCCCCCACCCTAAAAGTAGAACCTTCTTTACAATAAGGTTTTCTTTTTAAAGTGAAATAGTCCAATTAAAATTCTACCTGCAAATATTGTTTCTTTTTTTTTCCCCTCTACTTTGATATAAATGAACATATTTAAAAATTTTTGATGAAAAGTCTGGTGAAATGCAACCTAATATTTTAGTAGAAGTAAATGTTTTATTAGGCAAGGGGAAGAGAGGAAAAGGAGAGGAATTAGGGCAGTAAGTATGTGTATGCCTATTCTGCATTTTCAAGTTAATCCTCCACATGATCTCATTCAAGTTTTCACATCCAAAACTTTTTATCATTCTTTATAATGCACAAAAGCATATTTCCTTGTTATAAGAAGTCAGATTGTACATGAAAACAGTTAACACATTACAGACAGTAGATATCAGAAATCTATAGAATTACAAAATATGAAGAAACATATGCAAGTAATAAGAGTAAGCTAATTGATAACTATTTCTAAGAAGTTGCAAGGACAGTAAGCTTACCATCAAAATATTTCAGAAATTTTTTGCCTATGTAGAAGTTATTTCTTTTACCTTATATTGTAAATTACGTGATTAGGAATAAAACTATTTGATTATATAAAACTTACATGATCATAACTTTAAATTTTTGGTAATTATGTGACTGTAAAATATAATTAATGGATTAATCCTATTTCCAATGGGCAGATGGAATTCTCTATAGAATATCCGTAATGATTCAAAACATCCTTCGTCACCCTGAGGTAAAAATACAGAGCAAGGTGGCAGAATGGGTAAGTGAACTTACAACCTTTCTTTTTTAAAAAAAAGAAATAATCTTTAACTTCTGGGAATCTGGAAAAGACTAGTTAACCGAATTCACAGATCGTACTGAAACACAGATGGTATTCATTAGAAATAAATGAGTAGATATGTAAGTGAGGTATTGTGCTTATGCATAAGAAGAAAAGTACATTTGAAAAGGATGAGACACTGAGCCTAACAGGCTATCAGTGTCTTAAATAAGAACAGTATCACACAAATGGAAATAGATTTTGGTGGCAACAGGTATCTTTATTTCCTATTAGATCCATACATTATCTGCTATATTTTTAAATAGATTCTTTTAAAAAATTGTTTGAATGTTTGATCAAAACCAAAAAGCACAAAAAGACACATTATGAAAGTCTTCCACCCATCCTTGCTGCTCATCTATGTGGTACCAACCCAATAACCAACAGCAAATAGGAAATCACCGTTTTTCTTGGCTTTTTTCCAGATCTTTTGTGCACATAAAAGAAAATTAAACTATAGATTCTTATTGTCTTTGTTTTTTTACAATAAAAGCAGTATACTTTACATACCATTCTATACCATACTTATTTTTATTGTTGCCAGATTTGCAACATTAGAGAACTTCATCTTTTTTTGTTGTTTTGAAGAAACAATGTATAATATTTCATTATGTGGCTGTTCAGTCATTTATTTAGCAGATCTTCTGTTGATGGACAGTTAGGTTGTAATTTAACCAGTATCCTATTGATCAACATTTTGTAGTTTTCAATTTAAAAAATTTAACATTTTATTTTCTTCTTTTTCTTACAAATACAGCACATGGATTTTTTTCATTTTCTTCATAATCTCAAAATTTTTATATTCCATAGGTTTCTATGTTTTCTATTATTTCATTTCCTACCTACAGCATACTGTAAGACTTTGTACTTCTTTTTATATATAGTGCTGTTATAGTTCAATTTTTAAAAATTGAGTCACTATACGTTCTGAAGTAAGAAAAATGAGTTTTCATATATATTTGTTGTTTAATAAATGTGTTTTGGTAGCAAAAGAAAGTTTAACCACACACTGAGAGGTAGTGGTATACACACACACACACACACACACACACACACACACACACCTTATGTATATTTGAAAAATAACTGATAGAAAACAGTCTTCTTTTTAAAGGCAGTACTCTTTAAACAAAAGTTGACCATAGGTAACAATAGTAGGTAATTAGCTCTTTTACAAAATTCGTGAGAAAGGTGAAATTCTCTATTGAAATAAAAGAAAAATGCTACTGTTGATTTTTGGGAATGCCACACTGAGATCAGTAACTAATTCAAACACTGGGAAATATGTTTAACTTCTCAATGGAGAGAGCAGACTACAGAAAGTGTATCCCATTTTCTTTCCAGCTTTGTTCTTTTTGTTTAAAGTCAGAATAATTTCAGAAGATAAAATTCTTTATTTTCATTCTTAAATAAGCTACTGTTAGTTTATTTGTACAAATAATGGGTAACATTATTAATCTGAAATTAACGTTCACTAGAAAGTTTGAGCTAGATAAGGAATAAGCTTACATTTATATTTACTTAATGCATAGTTTTTGACATAGCTTTATTCTCATCTGCAGCTAAACTATTGGACATTTTTTGTTTAAAATGCAAGGTACCAAAGCAGATACCTGGTAATAGATAAAATATAAATGGTGTACCCATTTCAACTTACTACTATTTACAATTTTAAAATAACCTGACACTTTTTTGCCGGGATTCCCTAAAACTTACATTCAATTACAGAAAAATGCTTAAAAGAAAGGCTAAATGTGTATATGAAACAAGGCCTAAATCACCCTTCGGAGATGATGTGTTAATAATATTGTGAGATAGTAATTATTAGAAAAATGTTTTACTGTACCTCCGTGTTTGTTAAATAAAGAATAGAGAAGGTATTTATTGTTATCTTCTTTAATATGAAGGCTAGAGAGGAAATGATAGCTTTCCAAACAGACTTGGGTTCTAATCTGGGATCTGCTACTGCTTAGTTGGGTGATCTTGGGCAAACTATTTCTTCTCTGAGAAAGCTTAGTTTCTTTATTTAGAAGTCTGTAGGGAAGGTAGGGATAATCCCTGTTTTATTGGTTGTTTTGAGGACTGAAAGGAAAAACATTTACCAAATTCTTGGTATACAATTATCCAGTAACTGTTACCTACACCCTTCACTCCTCCAACTCTTCAGGATTTTCTCACGGTCTTATCTCAGAAACAACTTATGTTTTAAGCAGAAACTTGATTTAGATATTTTTTAAAGGTATTAACAAAACTCAGCCTTTTCCATTGTGTTTTCCAGCTCAATTCAACCTTCCAAAATTGGAGCTACACAGTTTACGTCATTAATATCAGGTAAATGATAGAATAAAATTATTTGAGAAATTAAAAGTAGTGTCTAATTACTGCTACTATTTGATTGTACCAACACATAATACAAATACACATACACAAGTACTAGTTACACAGTCTTTCTAAAACAACTCTATATATTAGTTTATTGCACAAAATCCTCAATGCTGCAGTGATGGTTTTAAAATGTTTTGATCATACATTCCAGTTAACTTGTATTTGTATTTTTAAATCATAAGTGTGTTTGGTGTGTGTGTGTTTGTGTAACTGAATCGATATATGTTATAATGTGTCAAAAATTAAAATTGCATCATTAAATATACATAGAAGTTGTTAGTTTCTTCTCACACTCTGGTGAATCACCTAGAGTAACCCCTGGATTGTATGCACGCATTTCAAGACCACTTTTTTTTTCCAGATCTAATCTTGGACATCTTCAGTCTGATTGCAACCTAACTTTTTGAAATTATCCCTCACTGTATTTATATTTAAATCCTCTGCTAATCTTCAGCAATTGGTATTGTCCGTATATCCTCCTGTGTACCTTATTTTCACAGTTCTACACCTGAACTCATATTCTAAAGTGTATGTCATGACTCCTAAACATATATTCTGTGAACATAAGAGATTCAGTAACACAGAAAAGGGGTCAAGTTGTCAGATAAGTTTAGGAAGTACAATATTAAACAAACTGAAGCAGATTTCTTTATTGGAACGTTTCCATTTCTTTAGTATAGTAATATGCATTGTGGATCTTCAAAACAGAGCAAAAGCACACAGTTGCCTAGCTTTATGAAAGAAGCTACAACCTCAGGACACACATTTGGAAATATTGGCTAGAGTTCCCATTTTATCTTTTTATTTCAGGTCCCCAAATTTTATTGTTGATGATGCAGTTGAAGAGGTGGATTAATGAATATATGTATTTTATTTATAGTTTTCACCTGAGCTCTGGAGAGGACAAGATTAAAGTCAAGAGAAGCACTGAGAATGATTCAAGGTAACAGGACAAAGTCTTATAAAGAGTGTAGCATTCTTTATCTTGCTCACTACTTTATCTGGTAGAAAAATGAAAACAGATGGGAAAGAAAAACTTAGCACAATTATTTCTTTAGCACTATTGTATGCTATTTTTTCTTGTAGTTAAAACTGTAATATAACAGACTGGGTAGTAATGTACATCTAATGAAAATAATTGAGAAATAGGACATTTAAAATGGATGAATTATTTTTAGTATTTCCAGTTTATAACCTATTGCCTTTTGCTTGAAATTACAAAGATACCTTCAAAGAAAATAGCTTTAAGTAAAGTGTTTATATATGATAGCATCTAATAATATGGATAATAGATGCCAAAATATTTTCAGCATTTAAAGCTCCAGCTAATTTTCCGAATTTTCCATTTTATGTATGTCAGGATCATGCTTTAATCATGCAGATAATTTAATGGTTATGTCCAGCATGTATGACCAGTTGGCATGTAAGGACCAAATGTTTAGAGTACTGTAAAACAAAAAAACTTAAACTTCCAAATGGAATAAATTTACTTGTGTTTTGGTTATTTGGGTCATGTATTGCATCTCTGTAGACTTTTTTTTTTTTTTTTTTGAGACAGAATCTTACTTTGTCACCCAGGCTGGAGTGCAGTGGTGTGACCATCGCTCACTGTAGCCTCAAACTCCTGGGCTCAAATGATCCTCCTTTCTCAGACTCCTGAGTATCTGGGACTACACACATGTGCCACCATGCCTGGCTAATTTTTAAAATATTATTTTTGTAGATGCTGGGTCTCACTATGTTGTTCAGGCTGACCTCAAACTCCTGGCCTCAAGTGATCCTCCTGTCTCAGCCCCCTAGAGTGCTGGAATTACAGGCATGCCATGTCATATGTAGCCTCCATAGATTTTTTTTTTTAATTTGTTGTAAAGCAAAAGTTTCTATAAGTCTTGCTGAATCTCAGTAGACAGAATTGATATTATGGACACACAGCCCTGATGATAGAGTCTGCTTCTTTTCAGGTGATATATTCTTAACTATGAGAAGATAAAATTTCATATGAGAGTTGACCAGAGAACTTTTTTTTTTCTTTTCAGTTCAACATTGGAAAAACAAATGTTTTGAAAGTTACATTGAAATATGTCATTTTTGTATACATATTAAATGGACTGGATTGAGCCATCTGATTAAGGAAACTTGTTTTTATTTTCTGGCATTATAATTTTTTCTTTATGATATGAAAACACAGTAATGTATTTCAGTACTATATTCTTGAAGGCGACAGAACTCTTCTCCACTATTTAACCAAATAATTTTTTTCAATCCTTTCTCTTAGATCATATTGCTTCTTCAGTAATGGATCCAGCAGCAATTGGGATCCCTTTGCTGGACACTTTTTGTAGCTATTGGGACAGCCCTGGGTGTGGCAGATATCACCAGTGATATACGTTCTTCAGGCAGTCAGCATTTGCTTTTTAGTTTACTTACTGTGGTTCTTCAACTACAAGGTGATACTAAAATCAGCCATCATTATTACATGTCAGCACTCAGAAACTCTTGCTTGAAAGACATTTAAATTCATGGGATTTCAGTTTCCTGGTCTGTCAAACCAATGAGTAATTTTACAGAAAAGTATAGGGAGAATGAACTAAGACGGTGTATATAGGAAAATCCAGTTATTTAGGGTTTTTTTTGGTATGAACTCTTGCCATTATTTAATATTTATGTTTATAGCCTTTCTTGCCTCTCTTTTCTTCTATTCTCTATGGCTCTTACCCTCATTGGTGAGCCTTTATAGTCTCAGTTTTTCTCAAAACCATGGTCTACTACTTTTACACACATTCTTTTTTTATTTAAACTTTTCCTTTCAATTTGATTGTATCACTTAACACAGACCATAGCTTCAGATAATGCTATCATACTCTATCGCCTAGACAGACAGGAAACCAAAACCACAGAGACTTTTTTTTTTTTTTTTAAATAAAGAATGACTGATGGTAACAACAGATAGAATGTGACTTTGTAGAACCATAAAGTAGTTTCAGTTTTCAGGATGAGAGAGGAAAACACACAGATAAGACCCGTGAAAATGTATGGCTATTCGTGACTTACTGGGTTTGGATATTCAATATCACCCACAATACTTTGTGCTAATTATGTTCTCAGTATTCAAGACAAGTAAAAGTTTCCATTCCCAGCTGTAAGTTCTCACCAACTGGAGTGGCGAAGCTTGCCTTCAAACAGTGATTTAATCAAAGGATCCTTTTTCATAGGCCATTTTAAAGATTGTTAAGCTATTGTAATGACATCTGTTTTTCACAGCTATAATTATGTTCACCTCTATGTTTGCCTCATCCTGAAATATGGCTTGTATGTGAATGGTAAGCAGTAGATTATTTTAAAGAGAGCTTTTCAGAGTTAATTATGAGAATAGTAGAGCACTTTTTCCTTGAGATTAGCACAGATATTTAGAAAAGAAAAAAAATTTCACCTAGCATTGAATAGCAAATATTTCACATATTCCTTCTTATTTTTTAACACCACAAATAAATTACTGTGACTAATACTTATTGTATATATTTATTATAATTACATAATTATATATAATATAATAATTATTAATATTCACAGTTTCATAAATAAAATATTCCACTGCCTCTCTACTGGGCATTCCATAACTAGTTTAAAAACAATACTACCACTTGGTCTTTGGCATGTAGACAGTAACCGATCTCAATAATATAATGTGTTATCTTACATTGTATTATTCATTTCTCCTCTGAATATGAAGAAGAAACAATTTTTTTGGCGAACCCAGAGCTATCACATATAAGCAAAAGAAATTCTCCTCTATTTGAGAAAATAATGTTGCTTACTTTTACCTCAGTGTTAAATTGATAGTTTTGATTTCTACTGTTGACTACAGCTGTGATTGTAGTTGAACAGAAAATTATATTACTTTAAATCATAGAACCAAAAGTTTTTAACAAAAGAAATTTTGGGGTAAATTTGTTTGCTTCCCATATATGCATTTCCTTTTTAAGGCTCTTCAACATCAACAGTTCTATAACCTTCTTAAGTAATATACTGGCCAATCACAAAGTCTATTTTGAGTATTTATTTTGTTAAACTTTTTACCATACAAAGTACTTGCAAATGCTTCATGGAGATAGAAAATCATTTGTTGCTATTCTGAAGAAATTGTACCACATTTATAAATAGCAACAACTTCAAAAGACAAATGGTGAGTTGAAAAATATTGGAATATTTTTACCATTATAATTTTCACAGCAGCAGAGAAAGTCTGTAAGCACCTTGGCTAATCTCTTCAGTCACAACAGTTGATGGTCATCCAACTACATCTAAATGTTCTGTTTATCCGACCAAATAACAACCAACCAATCGACAACAACAATCAGTTCTATCTGAAATGTTTTCCTAGGTTGGTACTTTGGGCCCTTCTAGTTTACAATGCTACCAACAATACCAATTTAGAAGGAAAAATCATTCAGCAAAAGCTCCTTAAAAATAATGAGTCCTTGGATGAAGGCTTAAGGCTACATAGAGTGAATGTGAGACAACTAGGTAAGTGACTTTAATTTTGTATAATGTGTAACTATATATTCAGGTTTAATTAAAACAACAGGAATATTCTTTCTTTATGTACTATTTGTTTATGTAAAATTTTTTTCTGATGATGAAGTTCAGCAACAAATGTGTGACATAGCAAAAAAAAAAAAAAAAATCAGCACAGCACTTATGAATCCAAGAAAATGAAGGAGGGAGATGAACGTTTATACTTTACTATAGGGACATATTTTGAAAAACTAACAATATGTACAAAATGCCAGAATAATCTTGATCATCATTGGTGTCAACTTCAGGAATAGAAAGAGTGTATAGATGTGGATATGGGAACTCTAATGAGATAAATCTTAAGGATATTTCCTGTTATAAAACATCTCCTGCTGGGCATGGTGGCTCATGCCTATAATCCCAGCACTTTGGGAGGCAAAGGTGGGAGGATCACTTGAGCCCAGGAATTTGAGACTAGCCTGGACAACACAGGGAGACTCAATCTATGGAAAATTAAAAAATTAGTTGGGTGTTGTGGTGCGTACCTGTAGTCCCAGCTACTAGGTGGGGCTGAGGCAGGAGGATCGCTTGATCTTGGGAGGTCAAGGCTGCAGTCAGCCATGCTCATGCCACTCTACTCCAGCCTCGGCCACAGAATGAGACCCTATCTCAAAAAACAAATAGAAGATGACTCCTTCTCTTATGTTCTCTGTCTCTATTAGTAGTAGGTCAGGAATCTGGGGGTTCTGTTGAACCTAGAAACAAGCCTCTCCTGGAGATTGTTCACCTCCTAAGCTCTAACCACACATGTGGCACTGCTTGTACTTCCACAAAGAGCCTGTGCTCCTTTACCCGACCTTTCTGTATCTTTGCCCACACTGTTCTTCTTCACTCCTACCGTCAGCCTCATTATTACCTGTGTATTTTTAAAGATAGCTCCTAAGTCACTTCTTCTGTGGAACCTTTTCTGACATTGAGTATAGACATCACTGCCTTTGAGCCTCTACTTCGTGTTGTCCAGATGCCTAGATCATCAAACACATCAAAAGACCACAGTCCAGAACCCAGCACATTCCCTGGAACTTGAACACTTGCTGAATAAATGAATGAATGAGTCTGGATGAGTTTTATTTTAGGAAAGCAAATATTTGCAAATTGGATAACAAAAAGCAATTGTTCTAATGTTATTCTATGTTTACAATTATACTATGATTAGGTACATTAGTAGAGATCACAAGAAAAGAAAACTCAGGAGGTTGAATTGAGAGAGGCAAGCGTTCCTCAGCCTTGAAGACGGCGATTGTGACTAACGCCAGAATCATAGTGTAGTAAAGAGGCAGGCATCTCCACTTCTGTGAGGAGCCACCCATCTCTGTTGTGTTGATGTACACATTTACAAAGACCTCATAGAGATGAATGAATGCAAATAATACTAATCATGATGATAAACCATTTCTGAGTCTGTATGGGAAAATACTTCCTAACAAATGGGGCTTTTTGGAGAGAAGGAGAATGCGGCCTGCTACCCTTTCACCTATAGGGGCTTTCACAGAGAAAGAGCCTGACAAATGGTAGTTTGTGACTGGAGAACCCTGGGAGGACCAGCGCATCTCTTTCCTCATAGGCTGGGAAAGCTCAACACCACTCTCTCTGTATACCTAGACGTTTAATTTAAACCACTTAAATTATCCATGTTATTGTTTTTCTGCAAGTGAGTCTGCGGATAAGCATTTCTACTAATGGAAAAATAAAAAGCTAAAACCTGACAGTTTTAAAGCTCATGGTATACATTGGAAAGTGATTTGAATTTTCAGTTGGTGATGGATGATAGGACCGGTTCCCAGTAAACTGATGTAACTCGCTAATGTTCACCAAAATACAGGAGTTTATTGTTGTTGATATATTGCTGTTACTTTGATATTCTTTAAAATATAAAATCTGAATGATTGATGTCAGGGGGCTTACTTCGAGAGTTGTCAAACAAAAAGCCAGATGATTTGAGGATAAAGAAGCCTGAGGGTGTGGTGTTGGTTCGCAGGTTCCTTCTTGTGGCCACCTTAGTAAGCTTCCAGGTAGGAGAGGCTGTCAGAGCAGCTGGAACATTTTCCGTAAAATAGCCCCACAACTCAAAGATGACACTATCGAGACATCATTTGTAGGCTTTCCTATTTGAAAAAAATCGAATTACGTTTTGAATTTTTTAGGATTGCTTTCCTTCTCTGTAGTGTTTCTTTTAATAAAACTAGTATCTGCTAATGATTAGAAAGATAATGTATGTTTCATGTTTATACTTATGTAACTGTTTGTTTCTTAATGGTTTTGTCTGATGTAACAATTTTTGGTTTTGAAATGTATTAAATGTTAATGTTTTTTCTAACTTCTATTTTTTAAGAAATCTGAACATAAACACTAATATTTTGGTATTACATTAAATGAATACCTAATTACCAGTATTGTCATTTTGCTTTCATCCTGCACCTCTAATTTCTAACATTAAAAAATAGGTGAATATTTCTCATGCTGTTTCTTATTTTCATATAGGTTCATGTCCTGCTGTGGAGGAACCCAAAGGCTTCTGCTGGCCATCTATCGTTCCTTCTGAATACTCTCTTGATTGTCCAGAAAAGCCTGGCTTTAAAGTTTCACGGATATGGTAATATTTTCACTGACTTTTGTCAGCAAGGCTCCACGTTATCAACCTTCCCAGGGTTATACGTGCAGCACGGTAGTTCCCAGGCATTATATTGATTGCAAAGAAGGGCAGGAATCTATGTATGCCTGTTTCATTCATTCCTGGGGAGTAAAGATAACATAAGTTGGTGACTCAGAAAGGCAGTGTTTTCCTCCTAGCCACATGCTAATCAAGCCCTCTCAAAGAAACATTGAAGAATTTAGAAGCCAGTGGGTAGCAGGAGAGCCCAAACTAGCTTGTTCCTCTAGCCTAGCCCTGGAATGTGCATCTGGAATTCTGAAACTTTTTAATTGGTACTGATTATTGTTGGAATGGGGAAAGGAGGCAAAGAAGAAATAAAGACAAGATACTCTACCAAAAATACAAAAAATCAGCTGGGCATGGTGGTGTGTGCCTGTAATCCCAGCTACTCAGGAGGCTGAGGCAGGAGAATTGCCTGAACCCAGGAGGCAGAAGTTGCGATGAGCCGAGATCGTGCCATTGCACTCCAGCCTGGGTGACATGAGTGAAACTCCGTCTCAAAAAAAAAAAAAAAAAAAAAAAAAGATCCAGATTGGGGTAGAAATAAAGACAAGATCCAGTCTGCTGATGGAAACTATCAGGGTATAGATTTTCTCTAAATGTTTAACAGAAACCTCAGAGACAAGACAATAGCAGGGATTCATGGAATAGCAAGTCAAATCCATTTCTCCACCCACTCACTCTCAATTAGAGTTTTTTTTGGGGGAAAGTCAGAAATGGAAACTGCCTAAGCATAAATACTTTGCATATTGTAAATACTGCTGTGTTTGACGCTTTGTAGGGAGGAAAGAAGGGAACTTCAGAGATTCATGGACTTGAGTTTGAAATGTGACTCATTGTCTTCCTGGTTGTGAGATGGACAATTCATTGATTTATCAAATTCCAAATTATTTTCTATAAGATGGGGATTATAATCTGCTTTGCAGAGTTATATGAACTCAAAATCCGATTTTACTTGTAAAGTTCTTAAATCAGTACTTGGCCAATGGATCTCAGATTAGGATATTGCTAGTATTTTGTTTCCAAGAGGTAAGCTACTGATTTTTTTCCCATAAGAATTTTTAGCATGAGATTTATTTCAATGCATTTCAGTTTTATTTTCAAAGGAAACTTACCTAGAAATCAAGGCAAATCCCAAAAGTTGTTAACTATTTTTTTCAGTTCTAATATTATTTATAGAAAAGCAGGAAAAGAAAACTTGTAGAAGGAAATAGTGCAAATGGAAAAACAAACTGGGGTGAGAGAGGAGAGAATAAGGAAGGCTAAGAAGAATGAGGTAGAGAAGTGGAGAGAATTTGGGAACATTGTATGTAGAGGGCGATAAACAGAAATGGGTTAGGGAGCTAGGGGAACATAGATATATGAACAGGTACGGAGATAAACAGAGAAAATTAAATTGGAAGCAGAGTGAGAAGTTCAGTGTCTTAAAGGGAAGCTTGTCCATTGATCATATTGTAATAAATGTATACATTATATACAAATCCCTTTAAGTAGTAAAAATAACAATATCAGTTATATAAAATGTTTAAAACATCTATTTTGTTTCATAGTTATTACAATGCTTCCAACTTATCTGAAGCCTACTGGGGACCTGTTGATGTCTCCATCTGTTTAAGTAAGTGAGCAATTTTCCCTTGTTTTTCAAGGATAAAATAAAATGACTTTGTGCTTCATGGTTTTCATTGTCTTTGGCATATTCTTCTGCTATATGATACTGTTTTCATATTAAAAGGCAAACGATTGTTTTACTTAAGATAGAAAATACTTTTTACTTTCATTTTAACTTTCTGTTCTGTAGGAGATTAAACATAGTAAGGAAAATCTAGAGAAGACAAAACTAACGTATAAATTGGTATTCATGTCAACATTTTGTAGTTTGTATTAAGTAGCAAATATATACTTATTCATTGATTCTGGGGACATTTCTCTTAGAACTTTGTGTGATCATTCATCCCTCCAAGTTATGTGCATCTTACTAAAGAGAGAAGTTAGTCTCTTCATAGAAAGAAATATTGCCTTGTGAAGATGGGGATGAGGTATAAACAGGAACATCTCACTTTCTTGCTTCAACTGTAAAGTAAAATATTACACTCTTCTTTGAATTCCTGGAAATGCTCAAAATATGCAGATAAAACTTAGTGTTTTTGTTTTTCTGCCGTTTTTTTAGTTGAAGCAAATGAAGTTGCTAACCAGATTTTAAATTCTACTGCTGATGGGCAGAACTTAACCTCAGCCAATATTGTCAACATTGTGGAACAAGTCAAAAGAATTGTGAATAAAGAAGAAAACATTGATATAACACTTGGCTCAACTCTAATGAATATATTTTCTAATATCTTAAGCAGTTCAGACAGTGACTTACTTGAGTCTTCATCTGAGTAAGTATTTTTTTTTTTTTTCTGGAGAGTAAATTTTATTGGATAAATGTGATGTTACATAATTTCTCACCTATCTAAACACTTTGTGCCCAGACTTCAAAATTCAAATCTCTGCAAGATGTATTAATAGTCATTAATAGTTAAGCAAGGTCATTGACAACATGAACTTAAAAGTTGTGTGTGTGTGTGTGTGTGTGTGTGTGTGTGTGTTTTGAGAAATATAATTTGCCATATCTATAGCCCTAGAAAACATAATCCGTATTTCATTTTTTATTTGGAAGTTCTAAATTTCATTAAAAAATTCTAAAATTCTAAATTTAGTTGGCCAGTAGAGTTATGCATAACTGGTCATCATAAGTCCACGATACTGTGAACGATGCCACTGACAGCCACAGCCTCATGCTTGTTGGCCTTCTGAAATGAACATGCTGGGAACGATGAAAATATACCTACATTTATATGATTCAGTTTGTATTTAATTGCTTCACTTAATAAATTAATATTAAAATGTTTACTGTTTTTTATTTCCTTCTGCATTTCTCTGAAGAAAATTTTATACTTGATAAAGATGTATTTTCTCACTTAATCTACATGATAACAATATAAACATTCTTACGGTGTCATGCAGTTCACAAAACACTTTTATCGCATTGTTTCCTTTGATTCTTGATAAGCCGTAAGGTAGGGAGGATACTTTGTCATGTGAGGAAAGAGAGGCTTTTAAAATTTGTTTTTAAATGAAAAACAGTATTTGTTCAGGATGATTTAATTGTTGATTTTCCTTAAAGCAGATATTTCTCTTGAGGATACATCCATCCCTGTGATTCCTTGTTTTAACAGATATCACTGTGGTCTGGGGTAATTTTATGGGTGTTCATGTTAAGATCAGAAAATCCAAAAACAATTTTATTTGGTTTATATTTTGCAACAAAGAAAAACATGTATGTTTAAGTACCTAAAATATTGTATTACTTAACACTGGTATTTTTGTCATTTATTTAGAGCTTTAAAAACAATTGATGAATTGGCCTTCAAGATAGACCTAGATAATACATCGCATGTGAATATTACAACTCAGAATTTGGCTCTTGGCGTATCATCCCTGTTAGCAGGGACAAATGCAATTTCAAATTTTAGCATTGGTCTTCCAAGCAATAATGAATCATATTTCCAGGTAATGAGCCAGTGGTTTCTTTAATTTTAATTAATTACTTAGATATATAAAAACTTTCTGATCACTTAGCAGTTGCTGCTTCAAGGAGATCTTGGTCCACCAGGTGACAAGCAGGTCCGAATGTTGGTTAAGTTTAACTAGAGCAGTAGCCAGAAGGTATTGTGGAAGCTCAGTGGGTATACTTTCATATCCTGGGTGACAGAGGTGATCCGCTTACCTTCTACAAGCGGGGTTACTGGAGCTAAGCATGAGTAGAGAACACTATACTTGGGGTGAGGATCAGTTCAGTTAGAGGAAAGAGCTTTATTAAGGGCCCCAAAGTGAAAAGAAGCATAGTGCATTCTCTTTGCCAGTGGTTCTCAAACTGAATAGTAGAATCTTCTGGAGGAGGCTGGGTCTGATGGCTCGTGCCTGTATTCCCAGCACTTTGGGAGGCCAAGGTGGGTGGATCACTTGAGGCCAGGATTTCGAGACCAGCCTGGCCAACATGGTGAAACCCCATCTCTACTAAAAACACGAAAAAAGTTAGCTGGGCATAGTGGTGCATGCCTGTAATTCCAGCTACTTGGGAGGTTGACACATGAGAATCACTTAAACCTGGGAGGCAGAGGTTTCAGTGAGCCGAGATCATGTGACTGTACTCCAGCCTGGGCAACAGAGTGAGACTCTGGAAAAAAAAGAAGAATTTTCTGGAGGACTTGTTAAAACAGATTTCTGGGACCTACTCCAGGAGTTTCTAATTTAATAGGTCCTAGGTAGGCCCCCCAAATTTGTACTTTTAGCAAGTTCTTTAGACATTGCTGGTCTAAGTATCATGCTTTGAGAACACGTGATGTAGAAGTCTGGGTTAGCAGGTGACAGAAAGCCTAGACATGTACACAGGGGCTAGATTAATGGAGAATCTTTTCAACGTGTTCAAGTGACACATAAGTAAAGAATTTTCAAGTTCCTACTGCATGCCAGACAATATTAGCCATCAGAGCAAACAAAATGAATGAAGCATTGTTCTTGACCTAGAAGAGTATAATATGTGAAGTGTACTATTTCTTTAACTGTGGAGATAGAGCAAACTGAAAATATAAAAATCCTGAAAGCAGGATACAGGCAAGACTTTTTTCCTCCATTAGACTAGAGGCTTTTTTGGATAATTCTCTTTCACATTTTAAGAGGAAAAACTCAGTCAACCTCACTCTCATTCCAAGACTGTTCGCAAGAAAGCATTCTTTGGCCTTGAGCTATGGTTTCAGGAAAAATGCTATCCGAGAGTATTCATAAAATTTTAATGCAGTCTGAAATCAACAAGTTAACTTCAGTCTCTTTCTCTCTCCCTCGCCTCTTCCTCCCATAGTTATTATCTTTCACTACGTGTTTTGAGAAAACCTCAAAATCTGCTGCTTATCTAATTCTTATACTTGAAAATGTTGACTGATTTATAGATTTCTCCCCATGTCTTTGTTAAAATCAATGCATTTTCTCCTTTGACACACATGTAAAACCCAAATGAGATCTACAGCTCTGTCTGTAGGGGTTTATCCAGGAGTTACCGTGACTACTGTAGATACAAAGGGAAATCCTGGTCCTGACTAACTTGAATTTGCAATTGTTCACTTGCCTAACTATGCATGTGGAATAACGTTATTATCACCCTTTAATTGTGATTACTTGACCAGTATATCTCTGTGTGACAGATGGATTTTGAGAGTGGACAAGTGGATCCTCTGGCGTCTGTAATCTTGCCTCCAAACTTACTTGAGAATTTAAGTCAGGAAGATTCTGCATTAGTTAGAAGAGCACAGTTTACTTTCTTCAACAAAACTGGACTTTTCCAGGTAAACACATTCATTAAATGATAATTTTTCAATTGCAAATGAAGTTTCTTTGCTCAAAGGCAAAAAAAACAAAAGTTTAGAATCCTTTGAAATATATCAGGAGGTTTAGAAAAATTTACTGCATTTTCAAAAATGAAAATTTTTTATATAATTGTTTAAATATTTTATTTCAGATAATATGCTTATTAACAGGTTGTATGTATTTCAGTTTTTAAAGTAATTCAAGTATTAGGCTAAGGCCTGCATTAAAAAATTAGAAGCTGAATTAGTGAATAAATGACTTATTATTACGTTCATTAAATATTTTATGCTCTTCAATCATTTAGGCCTTTAAAAGAAATTGCACACCAAAGGAAAGGTGTTTTTTTTTTTTTTAAATTCAGCAGGAAACACTCTTTACATAATGAGCAGCATTCTTGGCTTTAATCAGTTTTCCCATTAGTATTTCAAGTGAACTTTGGTCTTCACATATCCGCAGAGTTGGATGGCATTGTGCTAAGCACATATTATTATTTTTATTGGCATCATTTCTAGATACTAGAAGACCAACTGCCAGCAAACACTGGTGACCTCTGTTTGCCTTTGCAAGTATAACCTGATCTAGAGTGGTTTTCCTGGGCTTTACAAAAAAAAAAAAAAAAACCCCAAAAAAAACATCTATTAAATTCAAGGTATCAGTGCATATTGAACAATGTGACTTATATAAGAGAAAATAGCAAGTCTCAAGGCCAGGGAATTGATTTTATTAGATCTGCCTTTGTAGAGGAATGGCCAAGTAGAGATATAGTCAAGGAAAAAGAATACCATGGAATCCTTGACAGTAATTAAATCTAAAATTAAAAAATTTTATCAACAAATGTTTTAGGAACCATCTCTATACAAATTTTGTGATGTATATAAATACAATTTATGCATTTTGTATAAGAACATGTTTAATTTACCCTGAAAGATTTAATAGCTATAACATTTACAACTGCATTTGTTAAAATTATGGCAATTTGAAGTGTATGACAATGTTATCTTAAAACCAGTATAAAAATGAAATAGGTGCCACAAAATGTGAATGGTACAGAAGCCCTGTGGAAAGGGTTGCAGACAACTCTTAGATTTGCAAGGATCTGTCATTGTTTTGAGTCATTGTTTCCTTCTCCTTTGGTATTTCCCTACCAAAGTTGTTCTTAGGAAGCATATCTGGGCAGGTGAGGTGGCTCTTGCCTGTAATCCTAGCACTTTGGTAGGCAGAGGAGGGAGGATTGCGTGAGGCTGAGTTCAAGAACAATCAGGCCAACACAGTGAGACCCATCTCTTAAAAAAAAAAAAAGGAAGCATATGTTATAGATATATATATTGCATATCGTATATATTAGCATATATAAATGTTAAAGTAAATTTAAAGTAGAATGAAAAAAAAAAACTTTAAGGGTTCTGTGGTGCTCCCCTATCATAGTGGGCAAGATACAATGGGGTTTTTGTGTGTTTTACTGAAAGGCTGGGTATCACCAGCTAGTAGCTGACTTTATTAACAGTGACCATCATACAAAATAAATAAAAAGCTATATTCTGGATGCTGAGTTTTATTTGGAATTTAAGAAATCCTGTAATTATTTCAAAACAACTGATTTGTAAGCTATGATGTAGATTTGGACAAGAAATACAAGGGAAAGAAAAAAATAGAGATGAACTTGCTGGAGAGAAAGCTTATTGGTCCAAACCATTTTATCTAACAGATTTGATTTTCTGATAACCTTATTAATTAAGTGAAATCTGCTTATGCTGGCAAGTATTTAATCAGAGAAGAAGATAGAAGTCCTGGATGGGACTTGAATTCAGCATTACTTTTAGGCATAAATTAGTAAACATGTTAGGCTGTTGGCATGGATGTGAAAGATGAATTGCTTTTTATTTTTCACATCATATTCATACTTCTCTGAAGGAAAACAACTTCATCTATTTTCTAGAGTAGGGAAATGATCTCATTGTTTCACAGCTTTTTATGAGTTTATATTATTTATGAGTCTGCATTGTTTCAGATGTTAATTGGCTGACATCAGTCACCACAATCAAGAATGCAGTTTTATGAACATAATCTTACAATATTGGCTCCCAGTGTTCCCTCAATGTATTTATTATAATAAGGGAAATAACAAAGCTCCTTCAGGAAAGCCAGCAACTTGATGTGATAAACAGGATGTTCAAGACCTGAAGATCTTAAGTGTAAAAATTGCTGACAGTTTGCTTATTTTGGAGCACCAAAGTAAAATAAAAGTGTGTACTTCTGACTGAGACACATGATTTTTTTTCCTTTCAAAGGATGTTGGACCCCAAAGAAAACCCTTAGTGAGTTATGTGATGGCGTGCAGTATTGGAAACATTACTATCCAGAATCTGAAGGATCCTGTTAAAATAAAAATCAAACATACGAGTACTCAGGTAAGAAAATGCTTCCAGTAGCGTTTGGACAGCAGTAGACTATTTCAGAAACGAGTGGGGGCTTTTTTTCCTGCATATTAAAAAGTAACTGACCCTTTTTTGTGGGGTAGCGCCCAGTTTTCCATAAAGAGAGAACCTAGTCAGGTAGTGCTTTAAAGTCACAGTAAATTGAAGCAGCTGGAGACGTTAGTCTTATCTAGGACTCAATAATCAGAAAGAGAAGGGAAGTGAAGAAAAGGGCTTCTGTTTTTAAGATACAATATATATTGCTTGAAATAAGTTAAATGCAGATGTAGTTGCACAATTCTGCCAATAGAGGTTTTGGTTGTTTCTTTCTATTTCTGTGTATATTTGCAAAGATAACTGTAACTGGGAAAGCCAAGGAAAAACAGGGGAGGGTGGACTTATTTTTTGAGAGTTAGCAGTTATTTAGTATTTGCAAAAGTTGCTTTTCTTGTTGCTTCATTACCCTTGTCATCTGTTTGATAAAATTAGATGGGAATTCTTACTGTCCCAGATGGCCCAAGAACAGGTTTTTCTCACTTTTCTAGAGGGCCTTCATCATGATTCTGGCATTTGTTAGACAGGCAGGAAGGCAGGCAGGAAATGAGTGGGCTGAGGATTGAAAACCAAGTCACCTAAGATCTAGCCTCCTTTGTCACGAACCATCTTAGACTTCCTTGTTTAACACTTTGGCCTCCTTTGTTTCAGCCCCTTAATTCATAAGGGAAGATATTTTTTTAATTGTGAAACATACATGATACAAAATGTATCATCTTAATCATTTTAAAGTGTACAGTTCAATAGCATTAAGTGTCTTCACCTTGTTATGCAGCCATCACCACCATCTGTCTATCCAGCTGAAACTCTCCTCCCATTAAATACCCTTGCCCTGTTCTCTCCTTTTGATAGCACCTGGCAACCACAATTCTTTTTGTTTGTTTGTTTGTTTGTTTGTTTGTTTGTTTGTTTGTTTTGAGACATTTCGCTCTTGTTACCCAGGCTGGAGTGCAGTGGCGCTGTCTCGGCTCACCGCAACCTCCGCCTCGTGGGCTCAGGCAATTCTCTTGCCTCAACCTCCTGAGTAGCTGGGATTACAGGCACGTGCCACCATGCCCAGCTAATGTTTTGTATTTTTAGTAGAGCCGGGGTTTCACCATGTTGACCAGGATGGTCTCGATCTCTTGACCTCGTGTTCCACCCGCCTCGGCCTCCCAAAGTGCTGGGATTACAGGCTTGAGCCACCACGCCCAGCGGCAACCACCATTCTATTTTATATCTCTTAATTTCACTACTCTAAGTACCTCATACGAATGGAAACATACAGTATTTGTCCTTTGTGACTGGCTTATTTCACAGCACAGTGTCTTCAAGATTCTTTCATGCTGTAGCATCTGTCAGAATTGCCTTCCTTTTTAAGGCTGGGCAGTATTTCATTGTATATATATACCAGATTTTGTTTATTTCTCCGTCAATAAATGCTTGGGTTGCTTCTACTTTTTGGCTCTTGTGAATAATGCTGCTGTGGACATCAGTCTACATCAAGTCCTTGTTTTCAATTTGTTTATGTAAATACCCAGACATAAAGAAGAATTTTGAAGATGGTGTAGAATTGTAGTTTCAAGAGCTTTGCTAAATGCTAAAAATGAGAGTAGAATCAGTATATTTAATGATGGGACATTTGTAGTAACCTACAGATAAATGGGTACATAGTATGATTCCTCATGAGGTTAGAGTAGATTTTCTCTTGAAGTCTCTGTGGGAGAGAAGATCCCCCTGAATTACCTGACATTTTTGGGGTTATATTGGCATGTTAACGCTAATCTATTTCTCTGTGAAACTCTTTGTGTTTTTATTCTTTTGCCATATTTAAATCATGACATTTAAACACAATTTCACATGTTTATTCTTATGTTAATATAGGAAGTGCATCATCCCATCTGTGCCTTCTGGGATCTGAACAAAAACAGTAAGTTTTAAAATATTGGTTGTCTTAATATAGATAACAACTGAATTTTAAACATTGTTAGACACCCCCGTTTCCTTTAATTCCACCCCAAACCAGAGTGAGTCACAATGTAAGTGTAAATGGTAAATGAGCTGCAAAGTTAGTTTAGGTAGCTTGGAAAGTCATTTCTAATTTCTGTAACTTTTCAGTCACTGCAAGAAGAAATAGGCAGACTTCACTATGTTTTCTTTCATTTTTTTTTTCAGTTGAACAACCTCTTTGACATCAGTTACTTGTAAAATACAGCATACATTTTTATTGCTACTTTTGATGAAAGTAGACGTGCACTTAATCTCATTCTTCTAACACATATTTGAAGAGATTACTTGATCTAAGGCAGACAATTTAAAATCCAGCTTCCAGACCTCCAGTTATGAGGGAGGTGAGAAGCTGACTGAAGGAATGTAAGTATAGGAATGATTATAATGGACATATATTACTTGAAAGAGAAGAACAGCCTTCTGAATTAGATTTGACAGTCAAGAAAGGAAGGCAAAGTTAAGGAATGAGTCAATCAGTAGGCATAAGGTGTTGAAATCTCTTTGAAAGGAAGTGCAAATAAAGATGCTTCTCTGTCTATCCCTGGTGAGGATTACTGTGGCCAGATTCATTCTGATATCAATGCCCGTTGCTTTGTTGATGAAAACAGCCTGAAAAGGGCAAAAACTTCTTTTTTTGATAGTCCTTGTCACAGCAAGACGGGTGTTTTTTGTGGAGGGGTTTAGTTGCATAATTTGGAGAAGATCGTTACTCATTTACGTAGTTAAAAGTATTACTTTGTATCTTAAACTATTATTTAAATAAATGGATTCAATATTTTGACAATATGTGTTGCTTATACTCCATTTTATACCATAAAAGTCAGATAAGGTATGTCCAAGCCATTCACAATAAGCTATCCCATTCATGACTGCTGAATGACATTCTAAGAAAGGAAATGTTCTTTGTTCTTATGTCTTCACAAAAATGTAAATTAACCCTCAGAAAAAGATTGTTGGCCCCCGAGAGTTCATTATTGTGTACTGTATTTGAAAAGGAATATTCTTTTTATAGAAGTTCATTTAAAAATATGTTAAAAATTCACTTGGATCAAACATTTGTGGACCTCCTGAGTTTGAACCCACTGATTAGATCACTTGTAACTGTCTACCCAAACTAACATTTGATGATTCCAGAAATCCAAATTATTCTAAGCATTGAAAGCTTTCATAATGGTATCCGTTTTAGATATAAACTCTGTATGGCAGAAGAGACTGAGGCAAATTTCTCTATAGAAGTTCTCATCCATTGTAGAGAAGACACTACCTGCTGTTTTCACACTGTTTGTTGATTCCTTCAACAGAAAGTTTTGGAGGATGGAACACATCAGGATGTGTTGCACAGAGAGATTCAGATGCAAATGAGACGGTCTGCCTGTGTAACCACTTCACACACTTTGGAGTTCTGATGGTAAGGGGGGAATTTCTAACCTCGTTTGGACATGCTATAACTTTGGATGGCATATTCCTTTTTTGTGAGTCCACCTTTTTAGATTATTTATTTTGGGAATTATTTCCTGATAGTTTTCATCTGTATCATGAATCTTAATAAAGAATCTAATTAGCAAAGATCACATCTTAAAAATATGTAAAAGTAATTACAGAAAAGAACTGTCTCCCTTTTTTTTTTTTCCTGTAGCATTAACAATGATGATAAATAATCCCAGAAACAAGAAAATCCCCATGAAATTCTTGAATTAAGAGAGCAACAGCATCAAGGAGATAAACAGGGAGACAAGTGCGGAGAGGGAGAGAAAGTTAAGAAAGTGTTGGGTGTTACTAACATGGAAGGGAATTGTGGAGAGTGGAATCAAAAAGAATTTTTCCTTATGTTGTCATTCACTCAATATATTTCGACATTATTTTGTACCTCGTTCTGCACCAAGTGACCTCCCTCCTAGAGACTGCAGTTTGTTAGACAGACTAGTGACTAGGGTCAGAAGGAGGCTTCAGATCTGTAATAGATGAGGGTATGATGTTTCTGTCACCTTTGGACCTCTACATATCATCATTCTTTCCTTCCTTCTCCCATACCCCTGTTTTATTTATCTTATTAGCCAGCTTGCCACACAATTTAAAACAAAAACTAGATTGCATCATTGCGTGTTTTTTTAATCCCACCAAATTTTAAGACCACCACACATCCAACGACTTGTTGGAATTCATCCATAGATTTATACCTTTAGCTTTTATCCGCTGCTCCCTTTATGAAAACCATACAGAATGTTGTCCAGAAAACTGGACAACAGAAAACTGTTTGCAAAATCACAAGTATACCAGATAGAAGCTAAAGGTATAAACCCAGGTTTTAGCATAGACTTTGTTTCTGTATGGTTTTCATAAAGGGAGCACATTTGTTTTTTTAATAGGAGATAGGAGTAATGTGAGCTGAGGCAATAAAGCTTTCAAATTAGAATTACAGATGTCAGGTTTTGTTTATCCCTGCCTTTAAATCTTGCACCCTTCTTCCTGTGGGGACTGGGAGGAAGCCACAAGGATCTGTGGGATGTAGTATTTGGCTCGTGAATCTACTCAGCCTATGTAAATGGTCATTGTCATATGGCAACCCTGCAAGTTGTAATTTTCCTGACAATCAAGTACATAAATGCTCCCAGGGATAAGAACAAGTCATTTAAAAAGGTGATGAATCATAGAAGACACCGTTTTAACTATCTAAAATATGAATATTTTGTCTTTGCTGCCAGAGCATGAAAATGAGCAATTCACTATTGCATATTTTCCTTAAGTAATTATGCAAGAAAATTCAGTTACCTTCCATGTTCTCTTTTCTGCAGAAGTGATAGCAGGCATTCTTTCAGAGAACACTTATTTTTCATGGTTACTCATTCAGATATGTAAAATTTAGCTTAATTCATTAAAATATTTCAACTATGTGCATGTTGTAAGTCTAATATTAAATAAGTAGATAACAGTAACAAAATGTACTCTTCAGAGATGATTTGTATGCAGCCAGAGTTTGCTTGCCCCCACTTCACATGGCCAATTCCCTCGTATATTGTCTAAATTTTACGAGTTTTTAATTGTGTATTCTTTTTTCTGCTGCCATCTGATTGAATGGTTAATTTTATGAATATATATGTGAAAATAAGCATCTTTCATGCTATCTTTCCATTTTCCACCTTGCCTGTTTTTGTTATATTAAAAATTGCTGGTAGAAAATCTTCCTAGAACTTACCTTTTTTGGTGATTTTCTCTTATGTTTTTAGCTTTTCCAGACCACCAAGACTTTGTTAAGAGTTTTTCTTGACTCAGAAACTCTTTATTCTTTTGTATAAAATATTTCCAGAGTCTGCATGTACCATGACACATTCACCAATTCACCATATGAAAAGCAAAAAAATGCACCTCATACCTATAATTATATCTTCTCATCTGCAAATGGCTTAAGAATTTAATGTCTTCTGCTACATTTCTTTGTACTAAAACTGGTTTTCATATTTTTAAGATTAGTACATTTTCATATTGGCTATATCGTAATATAAATGTTTTCATATTTTCCTTCTCTAAAAGAGCAAAACAACATGCAATTGTGTGTGAACCTGTATCAGTAAACAGCCCTATTTAGTTTCTATTTGAAAATCTGGGTTTAATTGTGATATGCAAGTCAACTGCCTTGCCTAGATAGCAACCATAGGTTTTTCAAGAGGTTGTGACACATCACTTGGCAATCTTTCAAGACCATGATTCATCTCTCTGGGCTAATAAAATCCTGTAGTAACCAAAATATTGGTTGAGGTAGCCTATCTGTGAGTCAGGTGGCACTGACTCAAATCCCATTCCATGTGCCCTGGGAGCCCCGTGTTCTCCCAGTGTTTTGAGAGATTCCTGGGATAAGAAGGTAGGGGAATCTCCCTCAGACCCTGAGCCTCTGCCTCTGCCTCTGCCGAATTCCATCCCTTTGTGTATTTCTTGATGTCGCAGAGATACTGTGTCTGTTCTATACTGCATCAGTAAAACCTGAAACTAACCCACAGTTCCTTGTTACTTACACAAACACTCTCTCTTTCTCTCTCTCTCTGTCTCTCAAGCCCTGTGTGTGAGTAGCAGATTTTATTGGCATTTTAGTGAAAATTAAAGAAAATTTAGAAGGAAATATAGAAGAAAAATCATAAATATTTTCTCCAAAATTTAAAACCTAAAAGTTTACACTAGATGTTCAATACGTCTCTTCTCTGAGAACACTCAATTTTTGAACATCTGCATAATGAATGTAGCTTTCTCCTCCAACCAGGATTGAGGGATTGGTCTTACTTCAAGATTTATTCCTATACCAATCCCCCATTTAAGGAGAAAAAGATTTTCCTACCAGGTCCAAACTTTGTAAGTCTCCATTAGCACATTGAAATTAATACTTTATGTTAATTCACTGGAAAGTATTTAGTTCTTTCCACTCCACAACAGCGCTGAACAATTTAAATTGTATCCTTTCATTACTATAGGAATAAAAAAAAGATAACCCCCAAAACTCTTAGTGGCATCTCATTTATGAAAATAAAGACTGCCCCACCTCATACATATGAAGCATTGCAATGACCAGGGTTAGGAATCTGAATCTCAGCACCACCCTTGGAACCTGACAGTGACAGCACCAGCACCAGCCTCTGGCTGAGCCCCTCGCTACCTGGCAAGGAACCTAAAGGCTTGAGGGTTTGGCCATATAGACTACCGTGGTCTCCATTTGAACTGGTGGGTGCCCCCAGCCCTGTAAATGTTAGGAATGGGCCTGATGGTTTATTACGCAAAGTAACCACTTCCTCTCCAATTTCTTTTGGGGGTCCTGGTGGTTTTGATCTTCAGGTTATACCGGTGTGCAAAGAGCTTTGGAAAGAAGGTAAAAAAATAATATGTGTAATCACTTCCGGAAGTAATGTTGCATTTTTTTCTTTTATTTATTGATCAAAAATAATACAATAAATAAAAATTTTAATATTGATTTACACTGTTGATTTTAGCCCCCGAGAGTGAACCGCTTTAATGTTAACAGTGAACTTTCTAGGGAAACAACCATTCTCATGAGAAGAGAGATTCTTACAGCTGCTTGTCATGTTTTATGTAGGACCTTTCAAGAAGTTCCTCACAGTTAGATGCAAGAAACACTAAAGTCCTCACTTTGATCACCTATATTGGGTGTGGAATATCTGCAATATTTTCAGCAGTAACTCTCCTGACATATGTTGCTTTTGAGTAAGTATTTTTTAATCTGCCAAATCCATTGCTAACTATTCCAAATGTGAATAAGAAAATTGCCTCAGCTTTGAAAAACATTTATACACTTTGTGAATCATGTAGGGTGGTTCAATGTTAATGTTCATGTTTGTCATAAAATATATTATGGAACATGATTTTCCAGCTATAGAATTTTAATGTATAATTACTGTATTTCTGTTTATAAAATGCATTCAGAAGTGTTAGAAATGATTAACACTTAAGTAAAAATTATGTGAGGTGCTTTCTGTATTGTAAAACATGAAAACATTTGTTTTATAATCTTGTAAAATTAGTCCAGAAACAGAATTTCTGAAGGTCCTTAACTCATTAAGAATCAAGAAAGTTCAAATAATTTAGGGAAATTATTTTTTAATAAAAATGCCATTCTTATAACTTTAGAATTTTCCCAGGATTAAAAAAAATTCTGTTGAAACCCAACTGGGAATTGTATAAACAATTGGAAACAATTTTGAAGTAAAATTAATATTTTAAAAGTTTTTATAACTTGCTAAATACTCATAAGTGTCCTTAGTCCCCTGCCCCCTAACACCCCGCCTTTAGCAGAACCACATCAGAAAGCCGGTGCTATCTATCTTATTGCAGGGTTGTATAAGATATGAGTTTATACAGCCCTGTGCTTAAAAGATTGATATACAGTATTAGTTCTCCCATAGATTTCTTTTTTCATTTTTTAGGAAATTGCGAAGAGATTACCCCTCCAAAATCTTGATGAACCTGAGCACAGCCCTGCTGTTCCTGAATCTCCTCTTCCTCCTAGATGGCTGGATCACCTCCTTCAATGTGGATGGACTTTGCATTGCTATTGCAGCCCTGCTGCATTTCTTTCTTCTGGCAACATTTACCTGGATGGGGCTGGAAGCAATTCACATGTACATTGCTCTAGTTAAAGTATTTAACACTTACATTCGCCGATACATTCTAAAATTCTGCATCATTGGCTGGGGTAAGCCTCCTAAAATTTTTTTGGTTTTGTTTTTCCATCATGAAAATTGCCAGATTCTTATAAGAAAAATTCTTATTTAAAAAAAAGATAGTACTGTTAAGAGTAACCTCAAAGTTGTGAATGACGTGAATTAGATATATATAGCCTAAGGAAGGGACATCTTCACAACTATATTTTTTGAAACTCTTCAACAGCACTCACTACATACACGAGTAAAGGAAAAGCCCTCACTCCTGAGTCACCACAAACTTATTTCCTGAGCCCAGAGAGCCCAGAGCCAGCCCACCCAAGTCTGAAGAGGCAGCTGGCAGGCAGTGGTGCTTTTCCGTGATGCTTTAAAATACAAAGGCCAGCTCAGACGGCTAGTTACACTCATCCGCAGACATATGCCTATGTCTTAGAAACCAGAGAAAGAATGTTATTTTTGTGTGTGCAACCAGAATACTTACAGAATTCCTGCCTTGAACTTTTTATAATAACATGAGTTCTCAGTCAGACATGGGTGTTTGTATTAGCCTGTTTGAGATTTGCTATTGTGCTCCTTTGTTTTTGCAGGTTTAATATTGAGCCAAGCATTTTAGAGCTTTCTCACAGATCTGTTTCAGATGGAAATATAAAAGTGAGAGACGGCCGGGCGTGGCGGCTCAAGCCTGTAATCCCAGCACTTTGGGAGGCCGAGGCGGGTGGATCATGAGGTCAAGAGATCGAGACCATCCTGGTCAACATGGTGAAACCCCGTCTCTACTAAAAATACAAAAAATTAGCTGGGCATGGTGGCACGTGCCTGTAATCCCAGCTAGTCAGGAGGCTGAGGCAGGAGAATTGCCTGAACCCAGGAGGCAGAGGTTGCGGTGAGCCGAGATCGCGCCATTGCACTCCAGCCTGGGCAACAAGAGCGAAACTCTGCCTGAAAAAAAAAAAAAAAAAAAAAAAGTGAGAGACATTTTCAGGACTTTCAGCACCACCTTAGGAGGCAATAAGTGCACTCTTCAGGGACCTAGGTTACCTGTCATAACATTTCCCCACTGAGATATTCTTGGAAATACTTTATTCAGTCTCTGGGGAGTGAAGCCAGTGAAGGCAACAAAGGCTTTATAGCCCCCTTGCTTTTCCTCCACTTTTTCTAGAGTTTTCTTTATATAGAAGGAGGCAAAATAGACTGTAATGACTTGTCTGCCTAAACTCTGGCAGTGTAATAAGGCTTAATTATTGAAACCACATTCACTAGTGCTAGATTTGATACAAATCAGGTTCTAGTTTTCTAGTGAGTCCCACTATGCAAACAGAATTTTATTTAAATATCTGTCCTTTAAGAGTAGGTTTGGATTGTTGCCAGTTAGAGCTGAACATTGAACCCCAAGGAGGGGATTTTGTTGTTGTTAACCAAGTTGCCATTTCTAAGAAGTTTGAATCTGGGATATGAAACGTTGGCTTGCTTGCATTTCTCTTGTTTTCATCTCTTTTCTTTAGTTGTCATTATCAGTCTTATGAAGCAGTTTCAGATGCTTCAAAAGAGTTTGTGTCGTGGTGTTTTATAACAGGTTTGCCTGCCTTAGTGGTGTCAATTATTCTAGCGAGCAGAAACAAAAATCAAGTCTATGGAAAAGAAAGTTACGGAAAAGAAAAAGGTGATGAATTGTAAGTAATAAAAAATATTTCTGATGGGTAGATATCCTTTGTTTCCTAACGTTTAGCATTAGCTAATTTCCATGCCAGTAACAAGGCTTTCATTTTAAAACATTGGTGTTTATTCACATGATAGCCGAAGCCTCTGCTATACCACAGATTAATTCAGTTGAATGCCCTGAAATATTTGAGACTCTTTTTCCTATTAACATTGTACTCTGTTATATGGAGGAATTGAGAAAATGCCTACAACACTGTTTTTTAGCCTCAGAAGACCCATTCTATTTCAGGAGATTTCATAACACTCTCACCTCCTCAAACCTACCCACATCTTCAAGAGAGTTAAATAGCAGTATCAGACAGTGAACAATTCAATGCCAATGGGAGTGTTATGTAGAAATTTAGAGAATGGAGAAATCAGCAAGTTCTTAAACAATTTTGAAAGTTCTCTTCAGACTATGAGATCGTTGAGATTAAGGTTTTTTATATTGTTCAGTTGGACAGTTAGTGCTCTCATGTTTTATCAATCCCACCATGAGTAGTCAATAAATAAATGTTGATTTAAAAAATTACTGAATGAATAAAGAGCATATTTCTGAAATGGGACTAATGATGCCACGTATCTATGCGCATTTCATGGATGGTTAACATTTACATTGGCTGGGAGCGGTGACTGATGCCTGTAATCCCGGCACTTTGGGAGGCCAAGGAGGGTGGATCACCTGAGGTCAGAGTTTGAGACCAGCTTCTGACCTCAGGTGATCCACCCACCCTGGCCTCCCAAAGTGCTGGGAGTTTTTAAAATTCCCATTCTTAGTGTACAGGCACCCAAGAGAAAAGGAGGTTAGACATGGCTTAGAGTGAGTCAACCAAGCATGTTTTCATATCAACTTAGAATTCAGGAAGCCACCTTGTTGTCTTTGTAATGTTGGCTTACCTAGATATTAAGATGGTGGCCATCCAAAAACAAATGAACACAAAACCTATGAAGAGTTAAGAAGAAACCGAGGTCCAAGGAAGTAAAATGACTTTCTAAAGGCATTTGAGAGGAAAATCTGCAGTAGTCCAAACTAAGCAGAGAAAAGTCTTAGGTAAATAGGACATGGCAATAAATCTCTTTTTTTCTCTCTCATTTCTTCTTTTTAAGCTGTTGGATTCGGGATCCAGTCATATTTTATGTGACCTGTGCTGGGTATTTTGGAATCATGTTTTTTCTGAACATTGCCATGTTCATCGTAGTAATGGTACAGATCTGTGGGAGGAATGGCAAGAGAAGCAACCAGACCCTGAGAGAAGAAGTGTTAAGAAACCTGCGCAGTGTGGTTAGCTTGACGTTTCTGTTGGGAATGACATGGGGTTTTGCATTCTTTGCCTGGGGACCCTTAAACATCCCCTTCCTCTACCTCTTTTCCATCTTCAATTCATTACAAGGTAAGAAAAATTGTACGTGAACAGTCTCTGATTTCTAATTTTGTCGTATTTGTAAGCAGCTTCACTTTTGGACAGATGCCATGTTAAGTTTATATGTCACTATTCCAAATGCTGAACATAGTTCGAGGTGCAGTGTGATCACTTGTTAAAAAGGGCTTGAATAGATAAATGAGGTAGAATGTCAGTTTTGGCTTTTTATCAGTGATATATCCCAAGCACTTTAGAACACTGTACCTGACAGATAGTAGGTACTCCATAAATGCATATTATTGCATGAATGAAATGGAGCAAGGGAGGTATCTAACTGAGAACCGAACAGGGAGTTTAAAGGGATGCACAGGCACCTTATCTTCTTCACAGCTTTGCTGAATGTTGGCATTCTTCACAGATCCTTGTCCCCTGTAGATTTACCATTGATGGCCAGAAGAACTTTTAGAGTCTATGTAAGAACAAGCAGTTCACCTTGATTCTTTGGCTCCTTTGATTTCAGAGTAAATACCAACACTCTAGCTCAGAAACTTTTATCTTTTTATGAGATAAGTTGAACTTTTCACAGTTAGCTCAACAGTTCAACAAACATTTGTCAATGGCCTGCTTTGTATAAAAATACCAGGCTTCCTTCAAAGAACTTGCAGTCATACTTCTTATTCTATAATATATACCTTAGTGTACTCTGTAATGAATTTAACTTTTAAGCTCAAGTGAATATAAATTGTCTTTTTAGATAATTACATGACATTCTTTAAGATCTTGAATATACCCTGTGGTGTTGATGAAACTCCTTAATGTGCAGAAGCCCCATGGGGCCAACACTCCAGTAGAAATTAGAAGGCTTGGAATGTTTTTGAGTAGAGCAGTGCAAATGGCTTAACTGAAGCTATTGGTCTTGCAGTTGTAGATATCTGGGGAGGAAATTGCTGAATATATCTGAGCTGGGGTAGAAAGCAGTTTCATATTACTCACCAAATGAGGTACCAAGGTGGGCACTCTCTGCAGGTGTATTTTAAGAACGTCTGTACTTATCTGCAGAGGAGAGTTGTTTACTGCTTATCCTCCACGCTCTTCCACTGGCTTGTGAAGTGAAAAAAAAATTGTTACATGATAGGTGCTTAATGATTGGTAGATTAATGAATTGTTAGATGGAGAAAGGGGCTTTGGGGATGGCCTAATCCAATCTGAGATGCCTCTGGCATAAATATGTATTAAACAGTTCAGCAAATTTCATTCAGGTTCATTGTCTCGTAACAAAGGAAATATGCAGGCTCGTTATTTATTTAGTCAGTAAAATAATAAGCCTCAAGTGTATCTCCAAAAATTGGAAAATGAGTAGGTAGCATATAAATATATCTTTATTGGGATCTAGCTCTATAAAGTGAGTATTTCTCTATTTAATCTCTTCTATAATATACAACATAAAAGTGCCTAAATAAATATTGACAAAAGTATCCATTAACATTAGAAATTCCATGGTTTTATATTTCAGGATTGTACATAAAAGGCACATTGATCTGCCAGCCCAACCTTGGTTTTGCTTTTAGAATTTCCTGGCAGTTTCAATAACCTTCAACAGCTACAGTTGTCTGTTCAGCTCTGTTTCCATTAATGAGAATTGGGATGTTTTATTTTTCCCAGCATGGGTCCTCTGTCAGGAGGGAAAAATGTTGTAAACCATCATCAACTCAGTGTTCTTCATAAATCACTGGCTTTTAAGACTGATTTTAAATAATGTAAATTCAGAACAGATTTCAACACGTTTAATTATATTAAACACCTCCCAAAAAGAAAATTTAAATTAAAAGGCATTGATAACACAGCGCATGAATCTCTACCAACAATTGCTTATTGCCCAGGCTTGTGCCAAAACCTCTTAGGATGCTATGGAAATTCACTTAATGGTTTTTATTGGTGACTCATTTTGGAATCTTCCAAGAGAGGCTTTGTTGTCAGAAGTATATGCTTTATTAAAAGAAGCATGTAGAATTTAGACAACTTAAAGAAATGATTCAGTGAATGCAAAAGGAGCTCAGATAGTATGGAGGCAAATTACATTATATCTAATTTTTTCTCTTTTTGGTATTGGTCATTCCACCAAAAATCTTGGTGTGGTCCCTCTGCCTCATAGAACTTATATTCTAGTAGGGGAGGTAGGCTAATTAAACATATTGCTATATAAAAATTACCTTGTGATGTTGAGAACGTGTTACCAAAAGCATGATTTCTAAGCTGAAATCCGAAGGATCAATAGGAATTGACTAGTTGAAAGATGGGAGTAAGAGTAGGAAGAAGAATATTTGAGATAGTGGGCATTTCACATGCAAAAAATTTGCTGTAGTTGGTAATTAAAGTGTATGTTCAAGGTGTTAAAAGAAAACTCATATATCCTGAGAACAGTGAAAGGGCAGGATAGTGACAAAGCAGAGAGGCACATCAGAGAGGCAAGGACTAGACCAGAAGGCTCTGTATTTGATCTTTATAAACACAATAGGAAGTCTTGGAAAGGTGGAGTGACATGTGGAGTGACATGATTGGATGTGCACTTTGTAAAGCTGGACATAAGGTACTGAATGGATTAGAGTTGCCCAGTAGTGTCTGTAGGAAGAGCAGGTAGGAGACTCTCACGTGGTTGGGGAAAAGGTGGTCTAGTATTTTAGACTGTGGTGGGGATGGAAGAGCTAGAGAAATATGCACAGAGCCAAAGGAAATTTAGGAAGCCTACTGCTACAAAATACTCATCATTGATTTGCTCATTAAAGTAAACTCTTATTTTTCTAGAATGATTAGAGTAAGGAGTCTTGTTGTTAATACAATATTATAGTTAATGGATGCCTATCATTGTAACATTTAATAATGGCTAAAGCTTTAGAATGCAAAGCAAAATTCTGAAAGCTAAAACTATGTTAAACACACTTTAGTCCCTCTTAGATTTAGCTTGCAGGGGAGCAACTTAAAATCAGCAGTGTCACTGTGTACTGCTACGGAGGCGGGATGTGTTGGAACAAGTGTTTGAGCTAAGTCTACTGTGGTGTCAGGGCATGTATTAGTTCATTTTCACTCTGCTGATGAACACATACCTGAGACTGGGCAATTTACAAAAGAAATAGGTTTAGCTGGACTCACAGTTCCACATGGCTGGGGAAACCTCACAATCGTGGTGGGAAGCAAGGAGGAACAAATCACATCTTACGTAGATGGCAGTAGGCAAAGAGAGTGTGCAGAAAAGCTCCAATTTTTAAAGTCATCGGATCTTGTGAAATTCATTCACTATCACAAGAACAGCCCAGGAAAGACCTGCCCTCATAATTCAATCACCTCCCACCAGGTTCCTCCCATGATGCATCAGAATTGTGGGAGTTACAAATCAAGATGAGATTTGGGTGGGGACACAGCCAAACCATATTATTCCACCCTGGCCCCTCCCATATCTCATGTCCTCACATTTGAAAACCAATCACACCCTTCCCAACAGTCCCCCAAAGTCTTAACTCATGTCACCATTAATTCAAAAGTCCACAGTCCATCATCTCATCTGAGATAAGGCAAATCCCTTCCACCTGTGAGCCTATAAAATCAAAAGCAAGTTAGTTACTCCCTAGATACAATGGGGGATACAGGCATTGAGTAAATACTGCCGTTCTAATGGGAGAAATTGGCCAAAACAAAGGGGCTACAGACCCCATCCAAGACCAAAATACAGGAGGGCAGTCAAATCTTAAGGTTCCAAAATGATCTCCTTTTACTCCATGTCTTGTGTCTGGGTCACACTGATGCAACAGGTGGATTCCCTGGTCTTGGGCAGCTCCATCCTTGAGGCTTTGCAGGGTATAGCCTCCCTCGCATCTGCTTTCATGGGCTGTCATTGAGTGTCTGCAGCTTTTCCAGTCACACAGTGCAGGCTGTTGGTGGATCTGCCATTCTGGGATCTGGAAGATGGTGGCCCTCTTCTCATAGCTTCACTAGGCAGTGCCCCATATGGATTCTGTGGGACTCTGACCCCATATTTCCCTTCTGCACTGCCCTAGCAGACATTTTCCACGAGGGAATGACTTTTGATAGATTTCTTGTCACATTTGTTTATATCTTCAAAACTTTGGCTCGAGCATGTTAAACAATCCATTTAATCTTTTAGTATTCTTGGAAATATATGAAGGAATATTTGTTTATAAACACATATACATGTGTAATTATATGGGTACTCAAATAAATTTGAAGAGTCTCATATAAACTTTTACATATGCTTTATTTTTAATTTGTATGCTTTATATTTTTATTTCTAGCATGTATTTTATTTTATATACACTTATAACTGTATAATATAATTGCCAAAAATTATGTTAAATGAGTATCAGAAAGTTATTACTATCTGTGTGATTATAAAAATTTTATCTACTTACATAATTAAATGAAGTAATGAATTGAATCAAGGCTGAAACAAAATTTATTATTTTCTAATTATCCACAGGATATTGATTTGTTCTTTAATTTTACCTACTGTATTAGTCAGCTTTCACACTGCTATAAAGAACTTCTTTGAGACTGGGTAATTTATAAAGGAAAGAGGTTTCACTGACTCACAGTTCCACATGGCTAGGGAGGCCTCAGGAAACTTAAAATCATGGCAAAAGGGGAAGCAGGCATGTCTTACATGGCACAGGCAAGAGAGAATGTGTGAAGGAGGACCTGCCAAACACTTATAAAACCATCAGATCTCATGAGAACTCACTCACTATCACAAGAACAGCATGAGGGAACTGTCCCCATGATCCAGGCACCTCCCATCAGGTCCCTCCTTCAATGTGTGGGGATTATGAAGATTACAATTCAAGATGAGATTTGGGTGGGGACACAGAGCCAAACCATATCACCTACTTCATTTGATTAAGTTACTCAGTAAACATTCTGTTGAGATTTTTTTCCTGCCAAAATTAAAAAAATAAATGCACCTTCTCAATATGGTTGAGTTACACATCTATCTGCTTTTGCTATTTTTGCTGCTTTGCAGG